CCAGTTTCATTTTAACTGGAGTGGGCCATCAGTGTGCTCCTCTTGACTGTGTGGAATGAATATTCGTACCCTCTATGTCTACTGAAGATATTTTTGCCTAAATTAAATGATAGGTTTGATGTTTCCAAATTATGTAGTTTCTTATCATAAATATCTGTACAGATATATGTGCAAAGTTTATCCTCTATGTCTATCAAAGATATGTGTCTAAATTAAATGGAATAGGTTTGATGTTTTCAAATCAATTCTTATAAGTATATGTATATGCATATTTATCCATATATTTTTAATTTCTCTATTTTTGAACGTATGTGTGATATCAGTAATCTTTCAGAACAATAACTTTATCAATTCAATGTCAAACATAAAGATACGTGGAAGTTATTATTGTGTAATTTACATTAATACGTAGTTCTGTATATCGTTTGTTTACATGTTTATCTTTTAAGGTCAAGTGCTCGAGAATGCTGTTGGCACGTGCATCTCATATCAACACGTAATAAAGATAAGAATGTTTTGTTCCTTGTTGATGTTCGCAGTCAGGAAATACTAGAGGAAAAAGCAAAGTGTGCTAATTCATAAATGTTTAATAAAAAAATGTTTAAAAATAATCGAATGCAATAATTGGTAACAGTTCATTTCGAACATATTCTTCATAATGTGAACAAGAATAGGAACCGTAGGAAAGTGAATTGTGAATTAGGCCATCTATCAATGCGATATTAATCTTTATGAACTCGAGTGTCTGTCTCACGCCCGACGAAAACTATATTCGTTGATATTTCATAAATTACATATTAGCATACATAACACACATGGCATGCACGCACACATACCTCTATGGCTAATATCTTTAAAACAGCGATCGAAGAATTCATTTGTTTCTAGTTTTACGTAGAAATTCGAAATTTTTGTTCTTTATTTAAAATAAAATCTACTCAATTCTGACATCTCCTAAGTTAGAAATCCTTTAAGAAGAGATTCTACTGTTTTTTAATTAATATTTTCGACGTTAGTATTGAATAAAAAAAAAAAAAGTTAAATTTTGTTTCCGTGGGATATATGAAATATTCTAGTTAGGAATAGCGAATTATTCACGTTGGTAACTCTGTGATTTACTCAAAGGGATATTCTAGATAGAGTTAAAAATTTGCCATTGCTTTGGATCTTTTCATTTTAGTTCTGCGATATCTGAACGCAATAAATTCAATAAAGCGCCCCTTGGGTGCACTGATTTGTTTAGGAGCTTGCGATGCTGTTAAGACGGCCCTGGATAGAGTGGGAGAGCCAAGCCTCCGATCTATTTGTCTTTGTCTACCAGCGCATGCGTACAACCGTTTGATTCCACACACGCTTTCGAAATATCTCTTTATTCGATTTCATTCATGTAGCTTTCAACTGTTTCTGTTTATTTATATTATTGTATACAGACATATTT